TATTGGAAACGTTATTTAGTAGTTAGTGATAAATTATATCAAGTCGAGTTATTATTCGTCTAACGATTCGAATTAATTATTTATTTATTTATTTATTTATTTATTTATTTATTTATTTACTTATTTTTTTTTTCTTTTTTCTTGTTTTTTTTTTTCTTTTTTTTTTTCTTTCTTTCTTTCTTTTTTTTATTTCTTTATTTTAATGGCTTCGTGGACTTCGTCGTGGACTTCGTTCGACACCTTGCGGCTTTGTTATGTCGCTCGATGATGTTAATGGTTTCTTCCCACTTTCTCCAGCCTTCCGAGCACGCCAATAATCTATAAGAGATAACAGAAAATAAATAAATAAAATATATATATGTGTGAATATGTGTGTGTGTATGTGTCTATATATATATATATACGAATTATTTTTTAACTACGACTATTTCAAGATAAATCACACACATATATATACATACATAGGCGCATGCACGAATACATTCTTTTTTTTTTTTTTTTTTTTTGATAAAATAATAATGAGCTTAATATGTAAATTCGAAAATCGTCGAAATTCATCATGGAAATATGACTAATAAATATTTTTAAAAAATTTTTTCTATCATATAAAATACACCATCGTCGTATTTGATTTTCATTGAAATTTTTCACTCGTTAGAAATTATCAAATGTTTTAATCGTCTTGGGGACATTTTTTTTTTTTTTTTAATTATTGCAATTATTTCCTTAATATAATTTTCGTGTTTGAATTTTTATCATGGGATTTTTATTATGGAATTGAATTATCATGGGAATTTCGTTGAACGCGTAATTGGATGCGAGAAAAAGATTTCGGACAAACAAAAGAAAAAAAAAAACAAAAAATAAACAAAAAATAAATAAATAAATAAATAAATAAATAAATAAATAAATTAAAGTGTATACGATTAAACAATTTCACTTGATGATCATTCGTACTTTCATAGAAAGAAGAAAAGTTGTCTTGTAAAAAAAAAAGAAAAAAAGAAGAAAAAAAAGAAGAAGTATGCAAGTATATATGGATGCTTGAAAAGGAAAAAAAAGAAAAGACAAGAAAAAAAAAAGAAAGAAAGAAAGAAAGAAAGGGGGAGAAAAAAAAGGTTCCGTTCGAGTAACAAGTATATCTCATAGGTCTTCTTGGCAAACCCTTAGGGGTTCTTCGGCCCTATCCCTTTTGTCGACACATCAGGGACACCTTATTACGTTAGCATACACTTTAACCTGTGTGTATCAAGATTGTCATGAGATGTCATACATTTATATATATATATATATATAGTATATACATGCACACACACACACACATATATATATATATATATATATATACGTACGTAGACGTATGCATGTGTGTACTACAATGAAAAAGAAGAAGAAACATAAAATTTTCACAACAATGGATCTTCGAAATAGCCAACGAAAGCTATAAGTAAATAATATTGGTGTTGGTGTTAGTATTGGGAAGATTTGGTGGGAATACAAAACATAGTCTTTGATGTGTTTTCTCTCTTTTTTTCTAACGCGACACATACACATACACGTACACATACACACGTGTCCGCGTATACACACATCCACACTCTTTTTCAGATCACAGGTAGAACACCTGAAGACTCGCCCTTTGCACCTTCCATTTCTTCTTTTCTCCCTCCTCCCCCCCCCCCCTTTTTTTTCTCTTCTTTTCATTCTTTCTTTCTTTCTTTCTTTCTTTTTTTTCCCTCTCTTTTTCTTTTTTCTTGCTTTTCTTCTTTACTTTATATACCTCTCGTTATATCCACTGAGACAGACAGGTGACATACATGACACGTACGTACGTTGAACTCATTAAATTGTTGAAATCATCCCCATGAGGAAAGGAATAAAGAAAGAAAAAAAGAAAAAGTTTGGAGAGAAAAGAAAACAATTTTTTTTTTTTTCTCTTAGATACTTGTCCATCCCTTTTTTTTATCTCTACTCGAATCTAAATCGTTTCTTTTTTTTCCTCTCTCTTTATCTCCTTTCTCTTTTTTTTTTTTGCAGAGACAAAGTGGATGATAGAATGGAAAGTTCTTACACCATAAGATGACGAAAATTGATTTCGTACCCTAAGATGTTGAAGATCGTAAGTGGATGGAATCGAAAAAAAAAAAAAAAAAAAGAAAAAAAGAAGAAGAAATAAAAGCTTTCCTACGAGATGGTTCAAAAAAAGAAAAAAGGTTCGTACAAATTTTATTAATTTTATTATTATATTCACGATAAACAAATCCAATTCGTAAAGTTTGGACTTAATAAAAAAAAAAAAAAAATAAAAATAAAAAAGATCACAATAGATATTTTTTTTCTTTACACTTTTCTAGGGACATTTTGTGGAATCGTTTTGGAAACTTTCTGGTAACATTTTATCGTACCACCTTGTCCCTTGTACGTTGAAATTGAAATTAAAGAAAAAAACAATGGGAGGGGAAAAAAAACCCCGGGAGAGATTGTTGGAAACGATATGGTCGAAGAAAAAAAGAAGAAAAAGAAAGAAAAAAGAAAGAAAAGAACTTAATCAAATTTCATTTGATTTTTTTTCCTTTTCCTGAATGAACATGAAAATGTTGAATGGATACGTGATAGAAAGGAATGTTCGTTAGTAACTGGCATATGTTTGGTAAGATCGTCAATCCTCCTCCTCCTCCTCCTCCTCCTCCTCCTCCTCCTCCTCCTCCTCCTCCTCCTCCTCCTCCTCCTCTGGCTAAATCTCTTCTTTCTCTTTTAGCATTGGCCCGCCATATGGCGTTCGCAAAACCGAAGTCTTTCTCAGTGGTTATATTACTGAAGTTCCCTTATTTCTCTTTTACTCTACAGTGAGATAGATAGGAGAGTCAGAGAGAGAGAGAGAGAGAGAGAGAGAGAGAGAGAGAGAGAGAGAGAGAGAGAGAGAGAGAGAGAGAAAATTCTGAGCAGGATTTCATCTGTCAACATCTGTTTCCTTGGTTGAGCATAAGATTCCATTACTTGGAAACTTTCCTCAAGTAGTAAACGAAGAAGAAGAAGACTATAACGATCGTATCCTCTACCTGTCCATATACTTTGGTCCCCATAAGAGATATCCCACCACAAAGATCTAGATTTCTCTTTGTTCCCTAAATCTCTTACATGAAGATATAAAATGGGAGAAAGATTTTATATATATATATATATAAAACATGTCTAAGTCTTTCTACATGTTTTTTCATCGAAACGATGGATTTTCACCATAGGATTCTTATATAGAAAAGGGAGAACACACCAGAAGATCAGGTCATTGCTTTATTTTTCTTTCACTATATAAATTCTCTTCTATTCATTCATTTTTTTCTTTTCTTTTCCTTTCTTCCTTCCTTTCTTTCTTTCTTTCTTTCTTTTTTTTTTCCTTTCACTTTATCTCTCTGGAATATTATGAGATTCCTACATAGAGTCTTAACGTCCTAGTTTTCTTTTTTATCCTAACAAAAGATTTTTATTTATCCATTTTCTTTCTTTCAAATTTTTTGTTTTCGATTTTTTATTTTTGCTTTCGTTTTTCTTTTTGTTTTTGTTTTATTATTAAAATTGACCTGGACTGAACGATCTTTATTATCAAATTGACAAAATGAGTTCAATTGCTTTTTGTATTCTTTATTTTTATTAAATAAATATATCAGTTAATATATATGAACATTATTAATATAACAAATGATCAATAATCAAAGTAAATTTTCTATTAAAATAATTAAAAGAATTTTTAATGAACAAATTAAAAACAATCATCTCTATCTATTATTATTATATAATAAATCAATTTGATCTATCAAAGAACAAAAGACAATCAAATATTTCAATGATTTTCTTTTTTATTATATTTGTTACAGTTAAGACGAACCGATTGAAGGAGCATCAGTAAGGGAGAAAGAAAATTAAACGACATTTAAGCCCTGTAACAAAGTTTAACGAGTAGGAGTGAATGAGGAGGAGAACGAGGGAGGGAGAGTGGGTGGTGGTGGTGGAGTGGGTTGGGGCAGAGGGTGGGCGGAGGAGGAGTTCGATGCGGAAACACTTGCGAGGAAAGAGAACAGATGGTGTACGACCTTCGTAAGGTCCCTGTATGGTGCCGGTTGTGCACAGTATATATATATATATATATATAATATATAATATATATATGTGTGTGTGTATGATGTATATATACACACATATATATATATATATATATATATATATATATATATATATATATATATGTATGTATGTATGTATGTATATATATATAATACTCTATATCGCGTGTTCTCGCGGACCTGATTTAATCGTGGGAAAAAGAGGTTCGAGTCGTCGTACCGGTACTCTTGTATACTCTGTTGCTGTTGCTGTTGCTGTTGCTGTGTTGTTGTTACTGCCACCTCGAGCATATCTAACGTAGAGAACGTAACAGGTGTGTCTTAGGATAGAGAAAGAGAAAGAGAAAGAGAGAAGGGCACGGAAGGGATAAGGGGATAGGATAGAGAAGGAAAAACGAATGGGTTGAATAAGTGCATATGCATGTATGCATTCACGTATGTGTCCTCGTCGTCGTCTCGCTTCGTCGAGTTTGCGATTGCTAAAGGGAATAACAACGACACTGTTTTTTTTCTCTTCTCTCTCTCTCTCTCTCTCTCTCTCTCTCTCTCTCTCTCTCTTTCTTTCTCTCTCTCTCTTTCTTTCTCTCTCTCAATCTTTTTTCTTTTTTTTTTCTTCCTTTTTATCTCGTTTTTTATTTTTATTTTATTTTTTTCTTTTTTCTTTTTCTTTTTCTTTTCTTTCTCTTTTTTGTTTTTTTTTTTTTTTTTTTCAGAATGATGATTATTCACCAGACACAACGTCGTCTTGCCACACTTGATTAACAATAAGAGAAATCTTGAAAGTAAGGAGAGATGGTGGAAAGAGAAAAGAAAAATGCAACGTGGAGGAGGGACAAAAGAAATGAAAAAAGAAAAAAAAGAAGAAGAAGAAGAAAAAGAAGAAGAAGAAGAAAGATAAAGAACAAAAAGGAAGAAGTAAATAAAGAAGAAGAAGAAGAAGAAGAAGAAACAAATTGGTAACCGACTGTGGAATTCCTGCTGGATGGTTTTTGCCATTGGAATGTTTAGTATCTCTTGATGAGTATGTTAGAAAAAAAGGAAGAAAAAGAAAGAAGAAGAAGAAGAAGAAGAAGAAGGAGGAGGAGGAAAAGAAGGAAAAGAAGTAAGGAAAGGATTAAATGCAGAAAAAAAGAAAAAGAAGAAAAAGAAGAAGAAGAAGAAGAATTAGATGGAGAGGAAGGAGAAAGATTATTTTTTCTTTTCTAGTTTTCTCGTTCGTTCTTTCTTTCTTTTTGATTGAACTGCGTGCCGTTGGGTGGGGTGGGGGGTAATAATAATATCTCGTCTTGCATGAAAGCGTGTGAACGGTACACGTGCAGAAAGTCCAAAGGGATCTCTTTTCTCCAGGCACCGAAAGTATTCAAGGAATGCGATAGTAAGTTCGTTTTACTCCTTGGAAACTGGGGCCCTTCGATGAGTCATTTTCGAAGAGAGAGATGAGTGAGTGAAAGAGAGAGAGAGAGAGAGAGAGAGAGAGAGAGAGAGAGAGAGAGAGAGAGAGAGAGAAAGAGTGAGTTCCTTCAGGTATGTATTTCACATCGCCCACCCATGGGTATACATGACTCATATAAGAGAGAGAAAGAGAGCGAGAGAGAGAGAGAGAGAGAGAGAGAACGAGGGAGAATGAGAGCGTGATTCATTCGACGAACTATTTCATGCGTTTCTTTTATCTCTCGAACGTTCGCCTACCGCCACACATCTCATTCCATTACAAAACTTTCTCGCAAGCTGTGCTCCTTTTCTCTTTTTCTTTTTCTATCTCTCTTTCTCTCTAACTCTTTTTCTTTTCTGTCTACCTAAACGTTCATCATTTTATTATTCGTTAACAACGATAAAGAAATATTTCTCACGATTCAATCGTGTCCATTTTTTTTTCTTTCTTTTTTTTCTTTTTTTTCTTTTTTTTTTTTTTTTTTTTTTTTTTAATACGTAATGTATCTATATGGGTTGGAGTTGGGCGGGTGGGGTAGGGGGTGGTATTACGTAGGTAAAATTATAAAATCATTGACAATTTTATATTTTTATAGTTATACTTTCATTCGATTATTTTACTTTATATATATATATATATATATATATATATATATATATATATATATATATATATATACTTATGTATATGTTTATAAATGTATTAGTATGTGAAAGTTATTTTTTTTTTTAATAAATACTATTTCAATTTTTTCTTTTTTTTATCTGTGCACCACGCGTCGTGTATGTGTATACGTAGAGACGCAGCATTTTGTACTTCATTACTATAATACTTTATATATATATATATATATATATACACACATATATACATACTTATATACATAGGTATACATATGTAATAGTCCAGTCGTAAAAAAAGAAAAGTGTATTTCACTAATTGTCCTCATCGTTTTAATGGCTAACGATATATTATTAAATTATCTGTGAATGCATGAAAGAAAAGAGAGAAACAGAAAAAAAAAAAAGAGGAAAAGAAATAAGACAAAACATTCCCCAAACGTTCTGATTAGCTGAAAATAATAAATATATATGATCCGACGAGATTAAAAATACCCGCGTAGAATGGAACGAAGGAGCAAAAAAAAAAAAAGTCAGAAAGAAAGAAAGAAAGAAAGAAAGAAAGAAAAACAAGAAACAGTAATGGTGTCAGACTGAGTTGACGAAAGATTTGTACTCCAGAAAGGTTTCGAAACGACAATGACAACGACAACGACGACGACTATGATGATAATGATGATCATCATCATCATCATCATCATCATCATCATCATCATCATTATCATTATCATTATCATCATCATTATGTTATGATGCTTGATGCTGCTGATGCTGCTTGATGCTGCTGATGTTTTTAGAAGAGTAGAGAGGAGAGGAAGAAAGAAGTATATATATCCCTTGGCGTAAGACGAGAAGCCAAAGAGATGAAAAGGAACGGACATCAATAGTAGTAGAAGTAGTAGAGAAGTAGTAGTATAGTAGTATTAGTTAGTAGTAGTAGTAGTAAAAGAAGTGGAGGAGAGTGAAGAAGGGAAGGCGGAAGAGACAAAGAGGAGTGCGAGGCAAGAATAAGAAAACAGGTCGGAGAGCCACGCGACCGGCCTGCGCCTGCGCGTCTCTTCTTCTTCCTCCTCCTCCTCCTCCTCTCCCTCTTCTCCCTTTCCCTCTCTCACTCTCTCTCTCTCTGTCTCCCTCTTGCTCTCTCTGTCTTGCTTCCTCGCACGAAGCAGCGGCGTTTCGTTTCCCGCCAAAATATTACCACGAGACACGCTCTTCCCGCCACGAGGCTTCTCTCTCTCTCTCTCTCTCTCTCTCTCTCTCTCTCTCTCTCTCTCTCTCTCTCTCTCTCTCTCTCTCTCTCTTTCTCTTAACAACAATTTTATCATTTTATTTTTTATTAAATTAGAAATATATATATATATGTATATACATATATATTTATATATAAGATATAAATTAGATTTAAATATGGATTTAGATTTTTGTTGTATATATATATATATATATATATATATATATATATATATATAGTTATAGAATTTTTTCTCTTCTTTCTTTTCTCTTTTTTCCTTTCTTTTTTTTTTCTTTTCTTTTTTTTCTTTTTTTTTTTTTTTTTAATTTGATCAATTAATAATTTCAAAATTAATAATTGAAGTTAATCGTTATAATTGAAAATCAACTGTCTTACGTCGGGGTTATTTTTTTCCTGTTTTTTTTTTTTTTTTTTTTTTTCGAAGGAGAGAAAATAAATGGCTAAAATATGATTGGCTGTTAAGATCTTAAAGTGATGGAACGTTCTAGACACGTCTGGCTGGCTGTGTTTATACCTGATGTAGTAAAAAGAAAAAAAAAATATCCCTTTTCCTTTTTCTTTCTTTCTTCTTTTTTTTTTTTTCTTTTTTCCTTTTTTCTTTCTCTCTCTTTAGCTGCTGGCTCGCATGAGAATCAGCGTCGTTTCATTTCCCGCCAAAAAATTATATTCCATTCCCGTTAAGAGAGAGAGCTTCCGTCCTTATAAATTTCGTCATTCTTTTTATCATTGTTTATTTATTTATTTATTTATTTATTTATTTATTTATTTATTTATTTATTTATTTATTTATTTATTTATTGCTTTTTTCTCTTTCTTTTTTTCTTTTATTTTTTTTTCTAATTTTTTTTTTTTTGTTAATTAATGCGCCAACGAAATCAACAATTGGAATGATTGCGTTACATTGAAGTAAAATATGTTCCAGGGAATGATAAGTAGAAATTAATGATATGATTGGCTGTTAAGGCATCTCAAAGCGATGATGGAACGGATGGCTCGCTAAATAAATGTCTAGTTTTATTTCCTTTTCTTTTTTTTTTCTTTTCTTTTCTTTCATTCTTTCTTTCTTTCTTTCTTTCATTCTTTCTTTCTTTCTTTCTTTCTTTTCTCACTCTTTCTTTCTCTCTCTCTCTCCTTTTTTTTTCTTCCGAGACATTCTCTTTTGCGTCATACTCGGAATATGTATGATTGCTGATGGCCGAGTCTCGTTTTATCGTTGATATCATTCGTTGATATTAAAAAAGAGAGAGAGAGAGAGAGACAGAGAGAGTGAAGGAGAGAGAGATAGAGAAAGAGAGAGAGAGAGAGAGAGAGAGAGAGAGAGAGAGAGAGAGGATAAATATTTATTGGAAGAGAGAAGATATTCTTTTTTCTTTTTTTCTTTTTTTCTTTCTTCTTAATCATGAACTGAAACGAGTAGCTAAAAGTTGAATAGGGAGAATTGCCAATAGAATTGTTTAAACGTTAGACTTAAAAAGATTTTGGAAAAAGCATGCATATAAATACACACACACATATATATATATAGTAGAAAGGAAAAGGAGATGTTTGTCCCAAGATAAAATTTGGACATGCTTGTCCTCCATTAGCCTGCGTCAGCTAGTCGCGTCCACCGTTTTAGTTCAAAATCTTTCATTCTAAGCATTGTGAACCTTTTTTTATTCTTTTTCTGTTTTTTTTTTTTTTTGTCTTTCAAGAAAACAAGACTAAAGTATCTGTGTAATGACCGTATGGATTAAGATGGATAATCCATTAGCAGGTCGATAAAAAAGGTAAAGAATGATTGGATGAAAAATTTTGAAAAAAAAAAAAAAAAAAAAAAGAAAAAAAAATACGACGGAATTGCGTAGAGATCGACTTTGGCGGGAGTCATAAAATGTTGCGAAGATAAAAAAAAAAAAGAGGGAGAGAGAAGAAAAATGTCCTCAATAGCATTACAAAAATCGTCACGTTTTAAATCTTATTAATCTTCTTCTTCTTTTTTTTTTTTTTTTTTTTTTTTTTTAATTGTCTTAGATCATCGAAATCTTTCGAATATGATCGATCGTTGTGAAAAGAAATTAAGGCGAGCCGGTCCAATAATAACAGGTAAAGATATCCATTTCCCGCCAAATTTGATTTCACCCGGAAGTCCATCCACGTTTTCATGGATAGACTTCCTATCACACAAACACACACACACACACATATATAATCTAAATATATGTTTTAGATAAGCAACCTATCCACGTTTTCATATATATATATATATATATATATGTATATATATGTACACATACATACACATATATGTATATAAAATTCAAATACATGTTTTAGATAATCGAGGAGAGAGAAAAAAAGGAGGAAGAAGAAGAGGAAGGAAAAAAATGAGAAGAAAAAAAGAAAAAAGAGAAGACACATACCGTGAATATTGGTCTGCTTGGAATATGGGCTGGATCGTTTTTTTGTATTTTGTTCGTGGAATTTCCATCGGCAATCATTTTCTTTATTTTCAGAACATGGATCTACGCCCCATCGCCTAGTGAAACTCTTTCTTTCGTTATCAAGAGCCTCTTGAAGCATATCGGCGGTTTCCCGTGAATTCGGTGATCCAAATAAGCAACGTGAGACACGAGATGAGGCTGCGGCTGCTGCTGCGGCGGCGGCGGCAGCGGCGTTCATCGTCTTATTACTTTGTGGTAACACAGTGAAGTGCACCTCACGACAAATCGATGTAGCCAGCATCTCGTCCCCTTCTTTTATTTTCACTTGTCCGAGCGCGAGCTCTCGTCGTCGATGAAACGACGAGAGTGAGATAGACGCTGATGTTGACGACGATCTCAGCGGTGACGAAGATGAAGACGATGACAATGACGATGATGACGACGACGAAGATGACGACGACGACGATGACGATGACGAAATTATTCGTCGATGTTTATGAGATCCTCGATTATGAGCCCGAGGACTCACCTTATCCGAATGATTTTTTCTTATTTGATCCACGATTTCGGTATATACGACTTACTCTTTGACTACAACCAAAATGGCAGCTTGCAACTTTTCCCGCGCACTTTTGCTTCTCTCTCTCTCTCTTTCTCTTTCTCTTTCTCTCTGTCTCTGTCTCCCTCTCTCTTTCTCACACACACTCTATATATATATATATATATGTATATATATATCTTTTTTCTTTCCTTCTTCAATATACACTATCTTCTTTATCTTTCCAATTTAATAAGAAATTTTCTTTTTATATTCCAGATCTTCTACTTTCTCTTTCACTTTCTCAACCGTTGGCACTATATATTCATTTATACCTTTTATTATCACCTTAAATTCATTCGAATAATCAAGATCTACTTACGATCTATAAACTCCCTTTTTTCTTTCCCACCTTCTTATATATATCACGATCTTCTTCTCTCTTTCTTTTTTTTTTATTTTATCACATCGAATGAATATTCTTTTAATCGAAGAATCCTCTCTCGCTCTTTTTCTCGCTCTCTTTCTCTCTCTTGCTCTCTCTCTCTCTCTCTCTCTCTCTCTCTCTCTCTCTCTCTCTATGTTTTTTCTTCGAAGATATCGTTATCTTCTTCCTCGTCTCGTTCCTCCTTTTCTTCTATCAAAAATCACTATGTTCCTTATTTTCTTTCTTTCAAAATTTTTTGATTCCCCCACTCTTTCTCCCTCTTTCTCTTTCTCTCTCTCCTTTTGAAGAAGAAAAAGAAGAAATGAAGAAGTTTAGAAAATAATCATATATATATATATATATATACACATAGATATATATATATATTTTTAGAGAATAATTCGCGGATAGATAAAGTATAAATGAATATTACTCGCGAGGTCTGTACCGTACGACGGTCGGACTCGTTCTGCCTTCTCGTTCGTAAAAGATACTCAGAGACGTTCTGGGCTAAACTCTTCTTTGGTTAGATGGTTGAGTGAGAGGGGGCGCGGTGTATGTCTTCTTCGGCGGTGGTGGTACACTGTATACGTAAGTATACGTTGGAGGAGTAGGTAGGAGTAGGAGGAGGTGAAGAAAGAGGAGGAGGAGGAGGAGGAGGAGGAGGTGATGGTGATATGGTGGTAGTGGTAATAGTGGTGGTGTGATGATGACGATGACGATGATGATGATGGTGTTAGTATTATAGTGGTGATGGTGGTATAGCAAACGACGATGACGATGGCGATGATGTTGGTAATGACGCGATACTGGTGTTGGTAATCGTGATCATCGTACGTGTCTCTTTCTACGGTTTGTTTGTGATAGTTAGAGATGGTGGCGGGATTTCAGGTTCGTCGTTAGGTAGCAGTGAAAAGGACTGAGGAGGAGAGTAGAACCCACGAGGGCCGCCACGGCGCCCTTCTCTCTCTACCGCTTCCATATCGGTGAATTCAAATCTGATTGGTGCGCGGGATTGGTTGCGCGGTAAAAATGGCGCGCGATTTTCTATCCTTTTCTTACTTATTACTAACGGCTATAAAGCTATCTCTCTCTTTCTCTCTCTCTCTCTCTCTCTCTTTCTCTCTCTCTTCTTTACACACTTTGTTGGACTCTGTAGGCCACGTTTTTTCGTTCTCCCTCTCTCTTTCTCTTATTTAGACGTTCTGTAGATATGTTTATGTGTGGGTGTGTATGTCTCTGTGTGTGTGTCTCTTTCTCTCTCTCTCTCTCTCACACACATACATACACACACACACACATACACACACACATACACACACACACATACACACACACACATATACACAAGAAAACTTTTTTTTCTTGTATCTCCGTCTTTCTCATACAGTGGCTCCAACGGATTATGCTAAGCGATTTCGTTCGAGGGTATACAAGGGAAGAGGCTCGCGCCATAAAGCCTACCTTTTATTTCTTTTTCTAAGTAGCACGACGTATAGAGCGATCACGAAGAGCAACGTAGCCCGCGTGTTAAACGTTTTGCCAATGTTCAGGGATGCTCAGGGGATAATCATTTCTTCTTTTTCTTACTTCTACTTCTTCTTCTTGTACTTTTATCTTTTTTTTTCTTTTCTTTTTTCTTTCTTTGATATTAAAAAAATCCTCTTCGGATTTATTTATTTTTTATTTTTATTTTTTTCTTTTTTTTTTTTTCTCTTGTGAAGATCGTTATCCATGGGACATGATGTTCATTAACATTTGATTGATATTAAATTAAATTTACATATTAGCTTTAGAAAATTGAATCGATCGAATTGTGGAGAACGACGACGACGACGATGATAATGATGATGATGATGATGATGATGATCATTATGATCATGATTATTTCTTAAGACGTTTGTTAGATCTTGTTATCTCTCTTACAAAATTTCAATCAAGTTTTTATAATACTTAGTCATACGATTAAAAGGCTCTATCTAATTTGTTCGTTTAGAATTTAATTGTGTATTAAAATGTGAATAACAATAATAATTCATTGATACGTATAAAACCAGAGACGGATTGATTATTTTTTTTATTACGTTTTAGATCTAATCGCGGTCATTTGATGATGCAATTGTGATGATTCATTCGGACGCATTAGCTTAAGTTTATTATCTCTTATTTGAGACCTTAGTCAATATAATGTCCATTGTATTTTAAACGTTATTATTAGGATCTATTTGATCATATCAGTTGTATTTTTTTTTTCTTTTTGGTTTTTTTTTTTTCTTTCTTTATCATTATAAAAATTCCAAATGATCTTTCTTCTTGTAGTTTCTATCAATTCGACTTGGTTTTGAATATCTTCACCTTTTTTTTCTTTTTTTTTTTTCTTTTTACACATCTAGATCTAAATCATTTATTAGTAATCATAAACAAAAAAAAAATATATATATATATATATAAAAAAGAAAAATTCTGGATCCTGTCGATCGTAAATGAAAATTCTAACGATATTACTTGTCATTGTAATTGTTCGTGCTTTTGATGATTATTGAAATTACGAAACACATAGATCTAAATTATTAATAATTATTAAGGGAAAAAAAAAAGAATCTAAAATCATTAAAATCATCAAGAAATCATATACGAAAATATCATCGACAAGGAGAAAGAAGACAGGTAGAGAGAAAGAGAGAGAGAGAGAGAGAGAGAGAGAGAGAGAGAGAGAGGGGGGAAAAAAAAGGGAAATTCTGCATCTCGTTAAATCGCAAATGAAAATTCTAACGATATTATTTATCGCTTGTAATTGGCCAGAAGAATCGTTTGATAATTTATTTTCACATTATAGATATTATCGTCGATTTAAATCGTATCGATGAAAAAGAAAGAAAAGAAAGAAAAAGAAAAAAGAAAAAAAAAAAGAAAAAAAAAAAAAAAGAAACATTCGTTTAGAAAATAAAACGTCAAAGGTTATATCGCCATATGATAATTTTCAAGTCAATCATTTTATTCGTACAAACTATAAAAGCAATTTTCTCTTGGCAGGTGGGAAGGGATTCTCAATGTGCGTATATGCCTGGGCTTGCTTTTGCGTGCGTGCATGCATGCGTGCGTGCGTGCGTGCGTGCGTGCGTGCATAAGAGAGAAAGAGAGAGAGAGAGAGAGAGAGATAGAGAGAGTTAGAGAAAGAGAGAGAAGACACTAGGAACGAGTTCCAAGCAGAAAATTGCCCTTCTCTGAGTCTTTCAAGCATCGATCTTCCTAGCTCGGCAAAATGTGATGGCAGAAAGAAAGAGATAGAAAGCAAGAAACAAAGAAAAAGTTAGAAATGTATATATATATATATAGAAAGAGAGAGAGAGAGAGAGCGAGAGAGAGAAAGAGCGAGAGAGAGAAAGAGAGAGGGAGGGAGAGTCAAGATAGATAGATAGAGAAAGAGAAAAGTAAAAGTAAGAGTAAGAGAGAGAGAGAGAGAGAAAGAGAAAGAAAGGGAGATAGCAACTACCACACCGAATCATCGCTTCGCGTTTTCCGCTCGATCGTATCTTGCCAAGGGCTGCTCGATTAAATCGCGGTAGCAGGTGCCCAGAACGCATCAAAAGAAAGACAGAGAGATAGAGAGGGAGTGAATGAGAGAGAGAGAGAGAGAGAGAGAAACTGGGATGTAGCCTGACATTAAGCGGCCACGAAAAACGGGGACCAATTATGGTGCTACGACGAGTGTCTTTTAGCTCTCTACGCTTACCGTATGTGTGTTGCCAGGCACTGATTTACTTTTATTGCCGTCCTTCGTGTAACTTTCTGTCTCTCTTTCTCTCTCTCTCTCTCTCTCTCTCTCTCTCTCTCTCTCTCTCTCTTTCTTCTCTTGTACATAATCTTGTGAGCATCGAGATTATTCCAAGAGAGACCTTCGAAGCTCTCGGGTCTTAACAGTCTATCTGTGTGCTCGATCTTTCAAAAAAAAGAAAATAAAAAAATAAAGAAAAAAAATAAAGACAAAAAGAAGAAGAAGAAGAAAAAAATAGATAGAGAGAGAGAGAGGAAGACGAGGAAGAAAAGGTCTAGGCTCCTCTTCGATTTGTGATTTCTTGGATCACGAAATCGGAAAGGTAAATAGAAAGAGAGAGAGAGAGAGAGAGAGAGAGAGAGAGAGAGAGAGAGAGATAGAGATAGAAAGGGAAAAATAACAAAGAGTTACTTCG